CTCATGGGCCCAGGAAACATATTATATATATGCGCATCCAGCAAAACATGCTCTTTAGCGGTCACACCGCTGTGTCAAGAACACCCAAAAGCATGGATGACCAAAGACTTGTATAGCTTAAAGTCAAAAGGTGATTTGGTCAAGCAACTGCACTTGAAAACGCTCAGGACTTGCAAAGCTTCCTCCAAGCCAGTGATAGTGTCATCACCGAAGCCATCCTGGTTCTTGCACTTGGCCGCCGTCGCTGTCAAAGAGTTGCACAAGGAATTCAAGGCGGCGATGTGCCTGGCCGCCTTGGCAACTTCACGCTTCCATGAGTTCTCCTTGTCCTTGGCATCTTTGGCTGCCTTGCGTGCAACCGACGTGGCATCATCACCTTTCTATACTTTGGCCGCCTTGGACTCCGTGGTCTGGGGAGCCTCGTCAGAGCTAGGAATGGACCAGCAGTCCTCATCGATCTGCAGCTGCTCATGTCCGGCTTGCTCGCTCAGTGCTCCAACCTTTGCTTTCGCCTTTGTCTTCACTTGTTTCTTCTCCTTTAAAGTATATTCTTTGGTGGCGACCTCCTTCTCCATGGAACCCCGTATGTCCTCGTGCTTGACTGTCAGCAAGGGTGCAGCCCACACTTCACCGAAGACCTCATGCTGATTGGAAACATTGATGCAGACATAGAGCTAATCTCCTTTCCAAGGTTTGTACATTCATCACGGGTATATTCTATATATGTTCTAGATTCTAGATGTTGAAATAGTTTACATGGAATATATTTTATAGATTTCAATTTTTTTATAAAAATGTTTGAGATTAGTTATACATTCTGTGAATATAAATAAAAGATATAAATTGTTTTATTTTAGTATATAGGTTATGTTTACCTTCCATTTGACAGAAGATTCGAAATAAACAGTGCTACATGTCAAATATATGTTGGCAAGGAACCTCACAGTCTCGTCTCTCTCCCTTGGCCATAACTTTGTCAGTATCGAAGCCCTGGGTCTGCCATACGCCCAAGGGGAGAAACTTCTGTTCCACGGTCCTCGTCACTTGTTCGACTTTGAAGCGAGTCATCTCTGTGATGAGGTTTGCCCTGAGCACAGACCAACGGCCGTTCTTGGGAGCACTGCGGTTGGAAGTTCGAAAGAATTTCTGCTGATCATCTGGACTCATGGTCTGCAGGGTGCTCGGGTATCCACCAAGGTGACGGTACAGCATCTGGTATACGTTTTGGCAGGCAGAACAGGTAATGCCTGCGCCCTTAAATTTTCCATCATCCTCGGACACAGGCATGCCACATTTCAGACAGAGCGAAGGCTCAGGTTCTGTCTGTGTGACCATTGCATCTTGAGTCTCTTCAGAATCCGCCATCTTGATGTGAGCAAAAAAAATCTGCAACACACGCCAAATCAACTTGGGGTGACAGAAAAACAGATGACAACACGGGAAAAAATGTATGGATTTCGGGTAGATGGCCACGAGATAGCCGGTAGATAGTCGGGAGATAGCCGGGAGATAGCCGGGAGATAGCCGGAGATAGCCGGAGATAGCCGGAGATAGCCGGAGATAGCCGGAGATAGCCAGGACCAGGAAATTTGGTTTTTCAACGACGATAGCCGGAGATAGCCGGAGATAGCCGGAGATAGCCGGAGATAGCCGGGACCAGAAAATGCTGGATTTCAACGACGATAGCCGGAGATAGCCGAGAGATAGCCGGGAGATAGCCGTGAGATAGCCGGGTTCTGGACTCATTCAGCACCACAAAAAAAAACTCAGCGGACACACCGCTCAAAACAAACAATTCAGCGGACACACCGCTCAGGCAACACATCACATCGTTTGACAATTTAGCGGACACACCGCTCACGAAACAAAAACATGGCCCCAAAGAAAAAACGTGGCTCAGCTTCTTATTTTTTCCCTTTCCAGGATTTCACCGCAAGCATCTCGGGTCCTGTCAGCGCTTTGGCGCAGCGGCCGGCTTCTTCATTGGTGCCTTGCGCACCGCTGGTCGCTTCTTTGGCTGGCCTCTCTGTTTCGGCTTCGGCTGCGGCGGCACCACGTGCGGTAAGCTTTTCGGGATGTAACCATCAGTGCGCAACCTCAGCTGTTTGCTGGTTGGGTCGTGTTTTTTCTCTGTCGCGCATTTCTGTCACGATCACACAGCCACAAAATAAATAAAACTGTTGTTTTGGTTTGTGGTTTTCAGCGGTGACACCGCTTCATGCCATGATGGTTTAGGGTTTGTGGTTTCAGCGGTGACACCGCTTCATGCCATGATGGTTTAGGGTTTGTGGTTTTCAGCGGTGACACCGCTTCATGCCATGGAGGTTTGGGGTTTGATGGTTTTCAGCGGTGACACCGCTTCATGCCATGGACGTTTGGGGTTTGATGGTTTTCAGCGGTGACACCGCTACAAAATAAAATGATGGTTTAGTGTTTGATGGTTTTCAGCGGTGACACCGCTACACAATTAAAAAAATAAATGTTGGTTTGCTTTTGTGATTTTCAGTGCTGGCACCGCTTGATGAAATGACAGTTTCATTTTTTGAGTGAAAATATGCCGATATTTATCTATGCCGATTTCGATTTGGTCTATTTTTGTCGATGGCGGACATACTGTTCGAGTATATGTCATTTTTCTAGATATAAAACAAAACATCAATCAGATGCCAAGGCGCTGCTCCGCAAGCTGCCGATCAGCTTCTGCTCCTTCCAACTCAGCCAAGCGAACCTGTTCCATGTTTTCAAAGATCTCCCGCAGCTGCAATTTTTTGCACACTGTGCCAAGTGGACGACCTTTCACCATAGCTTTCACCTGCACTGATCCCAGCTGCAACTCCGCATTCTCCGAAACATCGCAGTGACAGATGAATGCATCAAAGACCTGCGAGCAGGTCTTTGAATTAGTTTAACAAAGGCTGCAAATCTCAATAGGCATGGCTTCACTTTTTGCAAGCGGAGACACCGCTCAAGGCATGACATGGCCTAGACTTAATTGTTTTCCAGCGGAAACACCGCTCAAGGCATGACATATCCTATATAGGCTAAACTTTAGCCACTTCCCACCGGAGTCACCGCTGAAGGCATGACATAGCCTCCCAAAACGTAGATCGAGGACCCCATCGTCCTGGCACAGAAGTAATGACTTCACCCGTCAGCGGCTGCACCACACTCACATTCTTTGGCTCGCTCCTCTGCCACTGGAACTCAAAAATCTTCAGCCCACCACGGCCACCATAGTTGGCAGTAGGTTTCACCATCATAGCGTGACCATCAGTGGCCAAGTACCTGTAGAATTTTCATTTCAAAAAGGAAACATACGCTACTTATTGCAATAAACCATGCAATTATGTGCTATATATTATTTATGTTTATTTATCCATCACACAAAAATGCCAGATAGATGTTAGGTCTATACATACACCCCAAAAAACCAAGGTTCTTATTACCTTTATCTGGCTACAAAAGCACATGCATCCAAAACACAAGGACCAACCAGGCATCATGTCGACATTCTCGTGTTGAATGTAGCTGTACAAGTGGCTGACATAACCGTTGCCCATGTACATCACATTGTCCATGCAACGATGGCGCATCTCCTGCCCTCTGGGCAAGTCTGTCCACAGCTGGTTTTCGCCCCATCTCTTCCATTCATCTGGGGATCGCATTCCTTCCATGGTTGACCATGCGATGCTGGTGTATTCAAAGAGAGCATGGGACTGGGACGACATGATTTGAAAACTTGTAACTACGATACTTGCATTCAGCCAAGATGCTGACATGCTGCATAGTACATATTTAGCAACAAAAAACCCAGCGGACACACCGCTTAAACACTTCCTGGACAACAAATAGCGGTCACACCGCTGAAAAAAAAAACGCCTCTACAACAAAAAGCGCCCACACCGCTGCAAACATACATTTTACAACTTACATGCTGTTCATCAGCGGACACACCGCTCAAAAGATAAGCAGCTCCAAACATTTTTTCCTCCCAAACCAGGTGCCACGTTGCTATGTTCGCAACTTTCATCGGGAGATATATATATATAGATAGATAGATATAGCGGTCAGACATTGCATCGACACGACAGCTCGTGTCTCGCAAACAAAAACTCTCAAACCGCAGATCCCTCAGCTGTCACCAAACTGAGCTTTCACAGCGCGGTTACCAGCCTGACGAGCTTTGCTGATCTTCTGCTCCTGTGTCAGGATCTTCACATGCTGCAACCTGCCTCAGGTATAGATGGGCAAATTCTTCAAGAACTCCAGGTGTGAAAACGAAATTTCTTAAAAATGAAACCAACAGGGTTGTAAAACAAAAACGCTTCTGACAACAATACTTGAAGCCCAAGCGCTGGATTCCGCATGGTATGCCCTGGAGTACACACACTCCCTTGTCATTTTAAGCTTGCGGGGCGCTGCCTTCCCCTTGGGTGCCACCTTGGCTTTGGGACAGGCTTTCGCCTTGGGCATCTTTTTTTCCTTGGGACTTGGTTTCGCCTTCACCGGAGGTGCTCGCTTGACGTGGGACTTCATCACCTTTGGCTTTTTCACCACCTTCATTGCTTTCAGCTTCGGCTTTGCCTGCAGCGCTGCTGCAGCAGCTGGTCTTTTCATGGCGGCCTTGGCCAGTTTACGTTTCTGCATGGCATCCTGGAGCTTGCTCATCCCATTCTGCAATGAGACTTCTTCAGGCGTCTTCTTGTGCAAGGCGTCCTCTTCATCCTCCTGCTCAGCAGTCTCCGGCAAATCTCCTTCGGGGAAATCCTCATGTTCCATCTCAAGAGCTTCCATCAGGTCATCCGCATGGGTATCAGCCACCTCCGCTTCCACAGCTGTGGCAGCAGGGGCCGTGATGTTTCCAGCATCCTGCACAGGCAGGGAAAAATCAAATAGCCAAAACAGAAAAACAGAATATATTATATATACATATTATATAGGATTCACACAAGCAGCGGGGACACCGCTTTCTCAGATGAAAATCAAGAGGATATACCTCAATCCAAGTTCGAGCGGAAACACCGCTCAAGAAGAAGAATTGCAATTAGACGGCATTCACAGTTCTGAAGTCCTGGTCTCCTGGCTGCCTTGGAGCGTCTTCCAGTGCAAGCAACGGAAATTTAGGTCTTGGATGTGGCGCTGGCAAAGGTGCCAACGAAGCAGAAGCGGTCGACTGTGATCCCGCCCTTTCGCCCATACGAAATGCCATCTCCATCAACTGTACCTCAGTGGCTTTCTCCGGCTGCTTGCTGGAAGCTGCCTCGGCTTTCTCCGGTACAGGATCACGCCAACGAAGACGCGTGCAGCCAACAGACATCAAAAAGTTGTTCATATCCAAACCTCATGTGGCACCACACGACCAAAATGTATTACAAAACCAAATCCACCATGTGAAAGCACCAATTAAACGAAACAGCGGTTACACCGCTAAACGGTTGAAAGACCAACATGAAACCAACCCAGAAGCGACTTGGCACTGGCAGGTCATGAGCAAAGGATTGAAGATACCATTCGGCTGGAAGGTCCCTTGGGTCTTGCGGCAGCGCCAAGAGGTACTCTCCGTATTGGTGATCATCAGCCTTTCGGACCGCTTTGTACTTTTTCCAGGCTTTCTTGAGCTGAGACAGAGCCTCATAGCGTTCGAAAGCACCGCGGCTTCTGCCGGTGTCTCGGCTTGTGGCCTCTAGTATGTTGTATACGGTGGAGAAAGTGCCCTCGCTGGGGCATCTCAATCCAAGACTCCAACAGTGCCCCAGGAGAAGGTTGCAGTTCTGCTCTTTGCTGCCTGCACTCAACGCATCCCAAATCTCATTGGTCAGATAATGGGGCAGGGCACCAAAATTTTGCGCTTTACGCCTATCTGCCATGCTCTGAAATCCGCGGCTGCCGTGCAACCAAACTTTTGTGAAAGCCATAACAGGAATATCAGTATAATATAATTTACTTGAAACGCCTCAGTAAAAGCGGACACACCGCTTCATGCAAGAATACCGCTTAAAACACCATTAGACAACCGTAGCGGACACACCGCTTTAAAGAAGCACAAACCTATATAACAAAAAATTGAGCGATGACACCGCTTCATGCAAGCCAAAAACATTGCCAAACAAAGGGAGACATTACAACAATGAAGTTTGCAACCAAAAACCAATTAAAAAAACTGACAATGTTTGATAAGCGACAGGCCCAACCCAACAGTCACACGCCTTTTTTTCATCTTCTATATATGGCTAGTACGAGGACCGCGGCTTCGGACGAAATTCTTGTTGTCTTTGTCCGCCACGCTTCCTCCAGACCCCAAACAGCCGCCACTGTCTCTCACGCGAACTCTCACCAGCATGGTCCTGGAATCGACCTGTTCCTGCATCCGAGCTGTGTTCTCTCGGTTCCGGGGGCGGTGCAGCCCCTTTACATCTAACACCAGCAGATTTAGGCATGCTGGGCATCGGCAATGGCGGATTCTCTGCTGCATGCACCGCATCCTCGACGTAGCGGCCCCTAGTAGCCAGCATCGAAAGCAAACTGCCAGGCTCAGGAACTTCATAACCAGACGCCGCAACTCCTGCACCAGGCATCGAAGCACCAGCCATTGATGGCGATGGACAGGGAATTGGCATTGGTTTGGCCGCCACTGCACTTGGACGACTTCCAGCCGAAGCACCGGCAGGGACATACATGGGGCTCTCCCTGGGCCTCGGCATGGAAACTATAGGCACTGACCTTGTCTCCGCTTCAGCCCTCCGCTGAACTGGTCCTAACCAAACAAATGCAAAAAAAAACATCAGCGGCAACTGCACACCGCTCGACGCATGGTTTCATGCTATTCTATATGTATATACTCACCAAAATATAATATTACATCATTTTTTACGGATCCTATATATAAAAAGATGTTTTGCCTACAACTCATATATACACACATATTAATATATATAAATATATATATATATAGATTGCTCATTATGTTTCTAAAATTAAGACTTATACAATATATATATATATATATATTCTCATGCACGCATATCTAAACATAACTGGCATACATTTACATATAATAAATGCATGTCCACACAACTGAAAAACAAACTCGCCCCACATCTCTCCTGCTGGCTTCGCAGTTGCGCCACATGCGCTGGCACCTGTCTTCGCCTTCGGCGGTGGACATGCCGCAGCTGCTTTCGCAGGCGCCTTTGGCAATGACCTCTTCGGTGGGCATGCCGCAGCAGCTTTCGCAGGTGCCTTTGGCAATCTTCTCTTTGGTCTTGGCATCATCGGGTTCTCTGGCACTGCAGGGGTCTCTGGCATCACAGGGTTCTCTACGCACGCTTCTGGAGGTGGCTGAGGCGTCAAGCAGTCATCCATGGCTGTATACCACAGAGGAAAAACAATTGTAGTCCTTTATTGGCATCCATCCTTTCTATATGGCACGTTTAAATCCACATCTCCTTCATTTCTTGACACTGTCATGCTCTTCACTTGTGCTCCGTCCTATATTACATTAAGCAGCCAAAGCCTTTGCAGAGGAAAACTCTTCAGAAAACAATTCAAAATCTCCACGGTAGCAAAAACAAGCGGACACACCGCTGCCAACCCGTAGCGGACACACCGCTTATCAACGTTTTTTTTATCTTTTTTGCAGCATGCAGACAAAAATCAAAGAAAATCTAGCTTTTACCGCAAAATGCGCAAAGTCTACAAAAAACAAGGAAAAAAACACGATCCAATAGAAATAAGTAGATATAAGTAGAAATAAGTTACTTAACCTACTTATCACACACAACATAAAAACTACTTATTTCTACTTACATTTTTTTCGTAAGTAGGTTAAGTTACTTATAAGTTAAAATAAGTAGACCTAAGTAGATGGTTTTGAAAAATCTACTTATCCTACTTACGTCAACTTATTTCCTACTTATCCTACTTAAAACCAACTTAAAACCTACTTTAAGTAGAAAATAAGTAGGATAAGTAGAACCGGTCCTCAAGGTAGCGGATCGAGTCAAGGTTTTCCTGATTCGGTCGCAGAGAAGCGGGCGGATGGTGGCCTGGTTGATGTCCAGATCCCCGATCCCGACGTGAACGTCAGCAGTGAGGTGACGGCCAGTGAAAGAGAAGCAATCGAGAAGGAGTTAGTCGACCTTTCGGCCCGCATGGCTCAGTTGTGGGACGGTCGAGCAAAGGCGGAGCAGTGGGACGAGGTCAAGTCTGACCTGTCGGTCTATCGCGGCTGAGTGGGGAAAAGGTCGACAAGGATCCTCGTAGGGAGGAGTCCTACAGGAAAGCAGTCGTTGAAGGGCTAGGATTTGGAGAAAATGTCCTCTCGAAACATCCCGATTTCAACGCCGATGATCGCAGCTTGCAGGGAAGTCTTGCTACGGAAAGCCGCTGGGTTTTGGTTGGAAGGTAGCCCTCGCACTACTGTGCGTGGTGTTGCCCATGATTGCGTTCCAACAGGACCCCCCGTGAGTCTTCAACCGCATTCGCTCAAGGGAGAGAGTGCTGCGTGGGTCGACGAGCGGCTTGAAGAAGAAGTTCAGCGGGGACAGCTGATCCGAGGGGCGAGTCCTTGGGGATCGCCTCCTTTTCCTACTAAGGAAGCACCCGCTCACAAGAAGTCCCGCAAGCGGCGGCTGGTGGTTGATTATCGGAAGGTTAATGCGAGAGTCAAAAGATCCACGTACTACTGCAGAAAGGCTACGGATGTTTTGGCTCAGTGTAGCTGCTCTATATTCTTCTCTTTTGTGGACGCGGTGACCGGTTTCAACCAAATAGAGAACACTCGAAGGGCCATGGAAGTCCTGGCCATCGTGGCCCGATCAGGCAAGTTTCTGCCAGTGTGCTTGACGTTCGGACCCATCAATGGGCCGGATGATTTCTGCTATGTTGTGGACAGGGCTTATATGAGCCAGGTCGGGGCCGGAAACAACGGTTCGCAAAAGAGTGGATTGCTTACGTTGACGTCCTTACGGTCAGGACCGGTAGAGTTGTTGACGGAGTTATGATGTCTGATGAAGAACACGATGCCGAGATCAAGGAAGCCATGAAACGAACGCCAGTCGTAGTCGGCCAGCCGGCCTCAGAAGCCTTGGAAGCTCTAGGTGTGAGGCCGGACGGGCTGAGTGTCGCCAAGTCGAAGCACGATGAAAAAGAGCTCTCGAGTCGGATCACAACCACCCGACTCGCCCGCGGTCCGAAAGGGTGTTTCACTCTAGGATGCGGGAGCAGGGTTCTAACCACTGGGGTAAAGGGGTTTCCTCTAAATGTAGCATGGGTAGCGTTAGGTTCCCCCTTACTGGGTTAATATGGGGTTGTTTTCCGCAGCCGTTTGGCTTTGGGCGCGCGGCCGGGTTTTGGCTGGGTCGGTGTGTTCAGGCTTTTGCGGCTAGAAGCGCGAGCAAGGACTTGAGGACCTTCGCTAGCTTCGCGGGACAGGTCTGCGTTTCGCGACCTGTCCGCGTGCTTCGGACTATGGGCGGCGGGGGAGGCCGCCGCAACAAAGGCTGGGGAAAGCAGAAGGGAAAGCAAGCCCAGAGAGATCCCCGCCACAACTGGGACGACTTGGAGTTCCTCATGTTCAAGGCCCTTAGGCACGGGAGCTGCCGATCGAAGTACGGCGTCCACAAGTTGCGAGGGAAACTCCAGCAGGATGGCTGGGTGGAAGTCCGTGAAGTCGCAAGGGCCTTCGAAGTCCAAGAAAAGGATATCGTCGACCTAGTGGCCTGGGTGGAAAGCGATGGTCGGAAGAAACGGCGGGCAGAGCTGAGCAGAGATGGGAAGTTCATCCGCGCCGGCCAGGGGCATTCCGCTGACAGCGGGCTTACCCGCGAAGACTTCAATGACGATCTGCCGTTTGATGACGACACCGTTCTCGTTCATGGAACGTTCCGGGATCGGGTAGTCTTGATCGGCTATGATGGCCTGAAAGCAGGCGGAGGTGGAGACATGACGGTCAACAGGCTGTTCTGTCATTGGGCGGCAAATGCAATCGGCAAGGAAGGGCAAAAGTCAGGGGTCAGGAGCGGCACAGACGTCGCTGCCATAACCACAGTGGGAACGTTACGAGCGCACCGAATCGGAATGCGGCTCGGTGGTGACAATGTCGTCCTGACCGATGATGTGCCAAAGCTGCAGTGTATCCTCCGCATTAGTGTCTTTGACAGTGCGCTAGGAAAAGAGGGCGAGGTTCTCTGGACGCGAGACCGTGGGTTCACGCCTGCAGAGCTGCCCACAAGTGACTCTGAATCGAGTTTGTCGATCAGGGTCATACGTGGTCCCGCGCAGAGCGCTCCAGTGGCTGGAGAAGGGGCCGCGTCGCCATCTGCTCGTGAAGTGAAGCAGGAGACATCATCTGCTCGTGAAGTAAAGCAGGAGACCTCGACGGCGGTGAAGGAAGAAGAGTCTGCTTCCTCAGGAGGGGAGGAGTCCACTTCATCGTCCAGCAGTAGCACTGATGAGGAGATCACTGTGGAAGAAGAGCCCCCTGCCAGTGCAAAGAAGGAAGTCGCCTCTCCGGAGAGTGGCGCAAAAAAGGAGGCCGCCCCAAGCAGGAAGAAATCGAAGTCGAAGAAGAGCCATCGCGGGCCGGGTCGGCGTTTTCGCGACCTGGCCGCGAGGAGGACCTGCCGCGGGCCGGGTCTGCGTTTCCGCGATCTGGCCGCGGAATCCTCCCAGAGAACAAGGATGAGACACCCGCGAATAAACTGCGCGGGGAGATGACGGCTGAAGAGCTCCGCGAAGTGTGGGCCGAGCCCCGACGGCATCCGGGCCAACGGCTCATAGAGACGACTCTGGCTGCTGCAGCTACTTCAGAGCTGACCTACCAGTATGGGAGTGCCGGGGGACTGACCAGTCTGGTCGAAAAGCAGCAGGAGCGTCCGACAGCGGGCGGAGAAGATGAGCTCCAACGCCGCCTCCGTGTGATAGCCGGTAGCGCGACGGTGTCTGCGGCCGTGCGCAAAAGATCAGGCAGAGATGAGGCAGCCGGTGAGGCGCAAGACTATGGCCGGGACGTTGCCGAGGCTTCTGCCGAAACCAGTGCGCGGCTTGCGGCGGCAAGAGCTTCGGGCCCAACGCGCGCACCCGTGCCTAACGCCGACAGCCGGTTTGCCGCGGGACTTCGGGCCGAAGAACCGGTCCGGAAACTCAAGAAGCAGTTGAGGTCGCGGCTCCGAGCAAAGGACCACCGGAAGGGAGTCCAGCTGGGAGATGCCCAGCGCAGGCTGGCCGCACCGGCTGCCGCGGCTCCAAGGTTAGCAGTCGGGGCCGCGTGGAATACAGATGATGGATTAGGTGAACTCACCTACAAGGCAGGAAGTTGGGTCTGCAGGCTCTGCGGGACAGTTAGTCCTCCCGATGCTAATGAATGCGTCGGTTGGGTCAGCGGGTCGCAGTGCACTGGCACATACGACCGCGACTGCCGGCGTCTTGCGTCGGCTCGCCCCGCTCAGTCCGCATTGCCTGCCGCAGAGAAAAGAAAAGCCAAGAGAGAAGCGGGGGTAACAAAGATCGAACAGATCCTTAAGGAGAAGTCATGCATGGGACTGTGATCACTGCGGAAAAGGGAACCTGTCCTTCAGGTTTAAGTGCTATAAATGCAGTTATACCCGTCCTTCTCAAGAGGATTCCTCGGAGGAGGAAGTTCGCCAGGAGTCGGAGGCCGTGAGGAAGGCCAACGAAGAGTTTCTGGCTCAGAAAAAGGCGCACAAACTCCGCGGCCACCGCAAGCGAGCCGAGAGGCGCCACAAGAGCGAGGGCCATAAGAAAAGGGAGAGGGCCGGGTCTGCTGGGTCAGCGGCGGGGCTTGCGTTTCGCAGCCCTCGCGCGACCAGGAGGAAGAGATCGACCAAGAAGCGCCGGCGCTCTGGTTGGTCTGTGTCGCGGAAGGCTCGCAACAAGAAGGCCCATGCGGACAATGGCAATGGGCTATCGGCCAACAAGCTATAGGGTTGGTCATAGCCGCCTTTTTGGCCCCGGTTGTGCGAAAGGTTCAGATCGAGATAGAGGAAATTGTGGAGACCAGTTCAGAAGCGTTCCAAGTGGTGATCGCAGAAGGTAGAGAGGAAGTAGCATCCTTCGTTGAGACTGGTTTTAGGATCGGAAAGGTCGTGCTTGCCGTTTTGGCATGTTGGTGGGTATCTCGAAAAATGGCAAATGCCTGGGTCCATATGACCAATGGCAACTCTATGGAGCCCCGGCTGCTGAGCTTCGATGGTACCTCTTCGACCTGGCAAGTGAGAGGAACGAAGAAAGATCATAGAGTCCGAGTCAGTGGCAACAGCTCTGGTTGCGCTTGCCGCCAATACTTGGCCTCTGGGACGTGCGACCATGTGGCGTCCGCAGTGGCGGCCCATCGGAAGATGGTCGGCGCCGGGTCATCCTCGAGTGCTGCTGCTCGTGGCATCGCGGCAATGGGCGGAAGTGAGGATCGGCCAAGGAAGTCCATGGGTCTCGGCTTGGGGAGCTGTTTCCAAGGGCTTGTGGAAAAGGCGAAGACCCTGAAGGGCACAGAAGCTCCTTCGCATACGAATGCGATTGAGGACGCCCAAGACTTCAAAAGAAAGGTCATCAAGGAGTCCCTGAGTTTGGACAGCGGTCGAGGGAGCAACGTGGATGAGCCAATGACAGCTCTTGAAGCTGGATCAGTTGCCATTCCCCGACCTAAGGCCTTGAAGGATAAGGCTGAGAGCGATGATATGGACCGATGCAGGGTCAAGTTCCTGCGTGACGCTGAAACCTTTGACTGGCTCGTCCAAGTCTTGGAGTCCGTGGGGAAGGGCGGCCGTGTGCTGGTTCGGGCTTACTCTTTTGATCAGCCAGATGTGATCAATAGCCTGAAACAAGCAACCGAGAGGGGTTGCCTGACGATGGTCGTCGCAGATCGCTCGCAAGCCGCTGGAAAGACCAAGACGCAGCTCCAGATGCTGAAGGAACTGAGATCGTCTGGTGTGCGAGTCAGGCTGACGGAAGGACTCAATGTCAGTCAGGCCTATGAACAGCACAATAGGTCCGTGAGGCTGGGGCGCAAATTGCGCGGCCTACAGCACGGGAAGTCTGCGTATGTGCAGACCGACCGGGAGGATCGGCGCTCTCCGGTTCAGTTGGTCGTGGGGAGCTGCAACCTTACGACCTCATCGAAGGCCAACTATGAGGCTGGGGTGGCGCTCGAGATCTCTCAGGAGAGTGAAACAGCCAAGAAGTGGCTGCGCGCCTTCGAGGAAATCTATGAAGGAGGGATCACGATCGAAGATCACGAAGGCGCGGCGTAAAAGAGGCGAGGGACGTGCCCTGCCTCGCGGCTGGTGCCCGCGATTCGCGGCATCAGCGCGGGCAGCCTAAGCTGAGGGGCGAGTGTGGTATGCCATTAGATGTAGCTTAGGTCTGCCCCGTATTTTTTCGTGTTGCATGTTGTACAGTTGTTTCACTTCTGTTTTGGCTCAAGTTGCGCTGCAAGGGTTGCGCGACTTGGTTGGCTAGGAGTAGCGAACGTAGCTCCGCTTACCGCGAGACTCTTTGCGAGCAAAAGGCAGCTGCGCCCGTCGGTGTGGGCGTGTTCGCAACATACATATACATACACATACATACACATACGTACACATACATACACATACATACACATACATACACACACATACATACACATACATTACATTACATACATACACATACATACACATACATACACGAAAATACACATACATACGCATACTTTCACAAGCATACACATACATCCACATACATACACATACACACACACATACATCCATACATACATCCATACATACATCCATACATACATCCATACATACATCCATACATACATCCATACATACATCCATACATACATCCATACATACATCCATACATACATACATACACACATACATACATACATACACATACATACACATACATGCACATACATACACATACATACACATTCATTTACATACATATACATACATTTACATACATATACATACATATACATACATATACATACATACATACACATACATATACATACATATACATACATATACATACTTATACATACATTTACATACATATACATGCATATACATACATACACATACATATACATACATATACATACATATACATACATATACATACATATACATACATATACATACACACGCACATACACACATACATATACATACATACACGCATACATACACGCATGCATACATACATACATACATACATACATACATACATACATATATACATACATACATACATACATACATACATACATACCTTCATACCTACATACCTACATACCTGCATACCTACATACCTACATACCTACATACATACATACATACATACATACACACATACATACATACACATACACATACATACAAATACACATACATACATACACATACATACACACACATACATACATACATACATACATACATACATACATACATACACACACATACATACATACATACATACATATACATACATTTACATACATATACACACATATACATACATTTACATGCATATACATACATTTACATACATATACAAGCATATACATACATAAAAATACATATACATACATATACATACATATACATACATATACATACATACATATACATGCATATACATACATATACATACATACACATTCATATACACACATATACATACATATACATACATATACATACATATGCATACAAATACATTACATACATACATATACATACATATACATACATATACATATATATACATACATATACATACATATACATACATATACATACATATACATACATATACATACATATACATACATATACATACATATACATACATATACATACATATACATACATATACATACAGATACATAGATATATAGATACATACATATACATACATACAGACACACACACATACATTACATTACATTACATCACATCACATTACATTACATTACATAAATTAGATACATCACATACATCACATACATCACATACATCACATACACCACATACATCACATACATCACATACATTACATACATTACATAAATTACATACATTACATACATTACATACATTACATACATTACATACATTACACGCATTACATACATTACATACATTACATACATTACACACATTACATACATTACATACATTACATACAATGCATACATGCATACATGCATACACGCATACACGCATATGCGCATACACGCATACACGCATACACGCATACACACATACACGCATACACCCATACACACATACACACATACACACATACACACATACACACATACACACATACACGCATACACACATACACACATACACAAATACATACATACATACATACATACATACGTAAATACATACATACATACATACATGCATGCATGCATGCATACATACATACATACATACATACATATTTTTGAGCTGACGCTCATCGTCGGCTCCGCCGGATTTCTCGACCCTCCATTTCATCGCAGTGTGGGCTTGAAAGCTTTTGGATGGGGACCTGCTTCAGAAATATCTTCCTTATATTTTTTGAAAAAAATCATGGAATAGGAACTTTGTTGGAAATAGACGGCTTTTTTGGGGAGCAAGTGAGTTTCCGAAAGCTCCTGCCAAGGGTTTTTCCCGAAGAACTGCTGCCAATTTCAACGTGTTACTTCGTGTAAAGGCGCCTCTGTGCAAAGACTTCTCTGTGTAAAAGCTTTTGTGTGTAAAAGTTTCTGTGTGTAAAAACCACTTTGTGTAAAGACTTCTTTGTGTAAAAGCTTCTGTGTGTGAAAGCTTCTCTGTGTGAAAGCGCGTCTGTGTAAAGATTTCACTGTGTGTAAAAGCTTCCGTGTGTAAAAACTCTCTGTGTAAAGTGTAAAGGCTTCTCTGTGTGTAAACGCGTCTGTGTGTGAAAGCTATATATCTGTGTAAAGACTTCTTTGTGTAAAAACTTCTGTGTGTAAAGGCTCCTAGACGTTTGTGTGCAAAAGCTCCTTAGAGTTTAGAGTAAAGACTTCTCTGTGTAAAACCTTCTGTGTGTAAAAAGCTCCTTTGTGTAAAGACTTCTCTTCGTAAAAGCCCCTGTGTGTATAAAAGCTTGCTGTGTGTAAATGCTTTTGCGTGTAAAAGCTCCTCTGTGTAAAGGCTTCTCTGTGTAAAAGCTTCTGTGTGCAAACGCGTCTGTGTGTAAAAACCCCTCTGTGTAAAGACTTCTGTGTGTAAAAGCTCCTAGACGTTTGTGTGCAAAAGCTCCTTAGAGTAAGGACTTCGCTGTGTAAAACCTTCTGTGTGTAAAAAGCTCCTTTGTGTAAAGACTTCTCTGTGTAAAAGCCCCTGTGTGTGTAAAAGCTTCTGTGCGACTCCTCCATCCAGCTTTCTTTCGGGTCACGCTGTCGTCCAGTTTCAATCTGCAACATTGTTTCCTGTGGAAGAATGCAAAGAACAGGTGAAAGCATCGCGCGCTTAAAAATTGAACATAAACAGCGCACAAAGTGCTGTAAATTACAGCATTTTGCGCTGTCAGATGGCAAGAACCCGCGTGAATACCACAGTTTTGGTCCCCGAAAGTGGCTAAAACACTGTTATATACAGGGTTTCGTTCACGTCACGATCTTCGATTTTTTGAAAACGCGTAAGTACCAGCGTTTGTTGCGTTCATCAAGGCAAAAAATCGGTACAAAAAGGGAAGAAAATGCTGTAATTTACAGGGGTTTGGCGCCGCCACGGGCAAAAAACTGCGTAAATACTAGCGTTTCGGCGTCCAAAAGTGGCCAAGACACCGCTATTTACAGTGTTTCGTGCCTTCCACGTTTTCTTGAAATTGCAAGAACCGTGTAAATACTAGCTTTTTATGCGATCAACCCGCCAAAAATGCTGTAATTTATATACAGTGTTTTTTTTGCTATGCTTTCAAAAACACTGGTATTTGCAGTGTTTTGTGCATCTCTGGTTGAGAACGTATTGGTATTTACAGCATTTTCTGCGTTTTTGCATGGCTCCCGCAAAAGACTAAAAAATGTGTCAAAACGGTGCTTTTTCCCGATTTTAGGTACCCTCCAAACGGGGGGGGGAAGTGCTCTTGGAGATGCTTATGATCGACCCGGATTCCGTCCAAAAAGCTCCCCCCCATCCTCCTGAAGGATTTTTGGTGTTTTTAGGGGCCCGGCATCGGAGGGTCGGCGGCTTGGGGCGCGCCTCACCATAGAGCTCTAGTCGCTCTGGAAACGCTCGTAGGGCAAGCCACTCGCGTGGAGCCGGCGGAGCCGAATTGTAGAGCTTCGCACACCGGCGATGCCTGTAGGGGTCGGGGGAGGGAAAGAGAGAGGGGGATTTCATCTGAACTTGCGGACATGACATGCTGCGAGCTGCATCTTCGTCGTCGTCGTCGTCGTTGTCGTTGTTGTCGCTTCTGGTCCTCGTTCTCGTTCTCGTTCTTGTTCGTGTTGTCGTTGTCGTTGTCGTTGTCGTTGTCCTTGTTGTCGTTGTCGTCATTGTCGTCGTTGTCGTCGTTGTCGTTGTTGTCGTCGTCTTCGTCGTCGTCGGCGGCGGCGGCGTCGTCGTCGTGGTGGTGGTGGTTGTTGTTGTTATTATTATTGTTGTTGTTGCTGTTGCTGCTTGGTCCTGTTGTCGTTGTCGTTGTTATCTTTGTATAGTACTTTTTGCAAACCCCCGAAAATCGTCAAATCGACGGTTTTTGCAAACCCCCAAAAAGCGTCAAATAGGCGCTGTTTTCGCGATTTTTCACGTTCTCGGGACCAAAAAACACCGTAAACACCGATGTTTTTGGCTCCGCGCCAACGCAAAACCACGGTATTTACGAGGTTTTGAGCCTCTGCTAGCAAAAATCACGGTATTTACAGTGTTTTGTGGCCCAAAAAACGCCCAACAAGGACCTCCAAAACGCATCTTCGAATTTTACCATCTTTTTTCCCACCCCGAACCGCCAAAAACGTGAAAACCCCAGCACCCTGAGGGATTTTTGGAAAGGTCGGCGGCACCGGCGTCGCCCCCGGGTAGCTAAAGCTATGTTTAGCAACCACCACCACACGGCGAGGCATCGCCGGATTTAAGCACTTACGCGCGACAGCCGGCCAGGGCCCGAACTATGTAGGCCCATTTTGTGGCTATGTTGGCCTATGTTGGCGTATGTTGGCCTATCTTGCGGGCAATGTGGGTCATCTTGTGGCTATGTTGGCCTATGTTGGCCTCATGTTGACCCA